CATTTTTTAAAAATTACATTACTGGCAAATTAATTGTAGATTTCAGGTATCTAAATAGTGACATTTTTAATAAGGCTAAAATGTTCCTGAGTGAGACCTGTGTGTTGTCAGGGGTGGGCGGGCTTCCCAGACACATCTGTGAGGCTGGAGATTATTTTTCTTTCATTGGAGGTCACTTTGCCTGGCTCGTCTTATCCCCATAGCCCAGTCATGGTTTCACTCACAGTGAGTAATGCATGGAGTAGGGATCTGGCAGAGGGGAGCAGAGGCGAGCAAACCTCCTGTGCTGGTTAAAAGTTCCATGCTCTCTCAGTGCAGAGGAACCTGCCAGAAAGCCCACTCTCTCCCCTGCAAATTCTGTTATTCTGAGGTCCTGCAGGAGGCAGAGACTTCTCTCTCTCTCTCTCTGATTCCTGCCCATGTGTGTGTGTGTGTGTGTGTGTGTGGAACTCAGAACAGGTCACCTCAATTTTTGCTAATTCTAAAATTTTTCCACTGCTACTTTAAGTTTGCTTTAAGCCCAGTGCACTACATCATCATTGATGTTTCTATCGCTCTCCCCCCTCCATCCTTCTCTGAAATCAATAAAAACATTACAAAAATAAAATAAAGTAAAAAATAAAAACATGGGATGGAGACTCAGATATTATGAAGGTATGTGTGAATATGGATGTCATGGTGTGTAGCTGAATGTCACTGTGTGGTTAAGCATGTGTAACAGTGAGTATGTGTGTATACATGTGTGGGGGCATGGGAATGTCAATGTGTATAATTGTTTGTAGGTGTGGTATGAGTGTGTGTCTGAATGTATGAATTGTGTGACTGAATGTGTGAACGTGTATGTATGCATGTATGAAGGTATGTGTGTGCATGTGTGTGTGGCTGTGGGAATGTCAATGTGTATGAATGATTGTGAATGGGTTTATATGAATGCGTGTGTGTGTCTGTGTGTGAGCCGGGGAAGGAAGTTCTTTCATTATAACCTCAAGGTCTCAAATGGCAACATTTGGTCTCCTCTTCAGATGAAGTTAAAGTCACAGACAGACATGGACAGCCTTGAACCATGATACCATCCACTTCTAACACATGTCCCCTAGTGAACATCACAAACAAAGCCCTGTGAGTCAGTATTTTATAGGGTAAATTCTATAATTTTCAATGATGGCACAATCATCATATGAAATCAATTATTTGAGGTTAAAATCTTTATTAATGTAAACATTAAAAGAGGCCCATTTAAGCCGTTGGCACTTCTCATCGGTCTCCTCCAAGGGCAGCTGGGTGGCACGGGTGGCAGGTGGGGTTGCCATGGGGGGTTCCATCCTCAGCAGCAGGGGTTGGGCATCAGGCAGGATGCTGAGCTGGAATGCTGTGTTCCTTTCACAACTGCACACAATGGTGACCCGAACGCAGCGTCTCTGCTTCTATTAACAGGCCTGTGGGTGGACAGGAGGGAGCCAAGGCTTGCCCAGGGTTTCTCAACAGACCCCACACCCCAGGCTCTTCTCATCACTATGTGTCCAGGGGGCTCCTGGGAGCGGGAATTCAGGTAGCCTGAGCACATCTCACCATGGTTCTATTTTAAGAGCTGGCCTTCGTTTCCTCTCTCTTTTTTCCATAGTTTTATCACAATGAAATTTACCATTTCCACTGTTTTGCGGTACACAGTGCAGTGGTGTTAAGGATATTCATACTGAGGTGCTGGCCACACCACCATCATATCCATCACTTTCCCCATCTTCTCCAACTGAAACTCTTCCCCCAGTAAACAACACTGCATCGCTAAGCCCAGCCCCACCACCACTGGTACCTAAATCCTGCCTTTCCTTTCTGACTCAGATGACCCAAGGGAAAACATGTGAGTGGAATCACACAGTAGTTGTCTTCTTTGACTGGCTTTTGCACTGAAATTGTCTTCAAGGTTCATCCATGTTGTAGCTTGTGTAACAATGTTGTTCCCGTTTTGTTAATTGAATCTATTGGGTTGACACAGGTTAATAAGGTCATGTAGGCTTCAGGTGTACAAGTCTATAACCCATCATCGGTATATTGTACTGTGTGCTCACCACCCCAAGTCAAGTCTCCTTCCATCACCATTTGACGCCCTTTACCCTCTTCCACCACCGTCACCCCTTCCTTTCTGGTAATCACTATGGTGATGTCTATGTTTAGTTGTTGTTGTTTTTCTTTGCTTAATCCCATATCCCTCTCACCCAGCTCCACAAATCCTTCCCCTCTGACTACTGTCAGTCTCTTCTCTTTCTATGAGTCTATTTGTATTTTCTTTGTTAATTTATTTTGCTCATTAGATCCACACGAATGTGAAATCATACGATATTAGTCTTTCTCTGACTGGCTGATTTCACTTATCATAATGCTCTCCTGGTCCATCCACCCTGTCCCACATAGTTAAGATTCCCATCTTTTACACAGCCAAGTAGTACTCCATTGTGTCAATGTACCAAAGCATTTTTATCCACTCATCTACTGATGGGCACATGGGCTGCTTCCAAATCTTGGTATTATAAATAAAAATGTAATAAAAACAGCGGAGAATATATATTTCAAATCTGTGTCTCTGATTCCTTGACATACATTCGCAAAATGGAATACCTGTGTTACATAGAAGTTCCATTCTTGATTTTTGGAATAACACCTTACTACTTTCCAAAGTGGTTTTCCTAAAGGCATTCTCCCCAGAGGAGCACCTCTGTACAGAAGTGGAATCACTGTGTTCCATGGAAGCATAGAGGTTCCATTTTTAACTTCATGAGGTAACTCCTTACTGCTTTCCACAGTGGCTTCACAAAACGCATTCAACACAGAGATGCACTTCGCTGCACCTGCCCACAATGGTGAGTTCCACACAGGATCCCTGGCTTCTATAAGAGGCCCGTGGGTTGCACTGGAGGGAACCAAGCCTTGCAAAGGGTTTCTCAGCCGACCTCACACCCCAAGCTCTTCTCATCACTGCGTGTCCAGAGGCCTTCTTGGAGTGTAATTCAGGAAGCCTGAGCACATCTCAACGTGGTTCTGTTTTTGGACCTGGCATTCTTGTACTTTCTCTTTTTTTTCGTGTTTTATCACGGTGAAATTTACCATTTCCACTGTTTTGCGGTGCACAGTGCAGTGGTGTTAAGGACATTCATACTGTGGTGCCGATGATATCACCATCATATCCATCACTTTTCCCATCTTCTCCAACTGAAACTCTGCCCCCAGTGAACAACTCTGCATCCCACACCCCAACCCCACCACCACTCTTACCTCCATCTTGCCATCCGTCTCTGACTCTGGTGGCCCTGAGGACCACATGTGAGTGGAATCACACAGTACTTGTCTCCTTTTGACTGGCATTTGCACTGAATATAATGTCTTCAAGGTCCATCCATGTTGTAGATTGTGTCACAACGTTTTATTAAATGAATCTATTGGGTTGACACAGGTTAATAAGGTCATGTAAGCTTCAGGTGTACAAGTCTATTCCCCATCACCTGTATATTATACTGTGTGTTCACCACTTCAAGTCAAGTCTCCTTCAATCACCATTTGATTTAGTTTATCCTCTCCCACCTCGGCCACCTGCTTTCCTTCCCGTAATCACTATAGTGATGTCTGTGTTCACGAGTTGTTGTTTTTCTATGCTTCATCCCTTCACCCTCTCACCCAGCCCAAAAACCCCTTCCCCTCTGACAACTGTCAGTCTCTTTCTATATCTCTGTTTCTATTTTCTTTCTCAATGTATTTTGCTCATTAGATTCCACACCTTTGTGAATCAAAAGGTATTAGTCTTTCTCTGACTGGCTTACTTCACTTACCATAATGCTCTGAGGTCCATCCACGCTGTCACAAAAATTTAAGATTCCCTTCCTTTACACAGCCAAGTAGTAATCATTGTGTCAATGTACCAAAGCATTTTTATCCACTCATCTACTGATGGGCACATGGGCCTTCCAAATCTTGGTATTGTAAATAACACTGCAATGAACATAGCAGTGCATAGGTTCTTTCCAATCAGTGTCTCTGATTTCCTGGGATACATTCCTAGAAGTGGAATCACTGTGTTCCATGGAAGCATGGAAGTTCCATTTTTAGCTTCATGAGGTAACTCCTTACTGCTTCCCACAGTGGCTTCACAAAACGCATTCAACACAGAGATGCACTTCGCTGCACCTGCCCACAATGGTGAGTTCCACACAGGATCCCTGGCTTCTATAAGAGGCCCGTGGGTTGCACTGGAGGGAACCAAGCCATGCCAAGGGTTTCTCAGCAGACCTCACACCCCAAGCTCTTCTCATCACTGCGTGTCCAGAGGCCTTCTTGGAGTGTAATTCGGGAAGCCTGAGCACATCTCACCATGGTTCTGTTTTTGGACCTGGCATCCTTGTACTTTCTCTTTTTTTCGTTGTTTTATCACGGTGACATTTACCATTTCCACTGTTTTGCGGTGCACAGTGCAGTGGTGTTAAGGACATTCATACTGTGGTGCCGATGATATCACCATCATATCCATCACTTTTCCCATCTTCTCCAACTGAAACTCTGCCCCCAGTGAACAACTCTGCATCCCACACCCCAACCCCACCACCACTCTTACCTCCATCTTGCCATCCGTCTCTGACTCTGGTGGCCCTGAGGAC